GCTGAGGTCCGTTCATTTTGTGGCTCACATTGGAACTCTCTCTTTTTTACATATTTTCTTTTTGAGAGCCTTCACAACACTTTGGAATATAATTCTACAAAGTTGTAATTATTTATATTCTTTTATCCCAGGGTCTTCAAGGTCGCTTCACACGTGTCGACTTGCGAAAGGGAAATAAACGGTGCGGTTAATTACGAGATTTAAGCGGGGAGCACACACTTTTGCATAAGTGCATAAGCATATGCATAACGAATTTGATTGATTCATTTCCTTATGCATTTGCATATAGACCAATCAAATTCGTTATGCATATGCTTATACACTTATGCAAAAGTATGTGCTCGCCGCTTTTGTCCGCGCGACTAGGATCGAGAGACGTAGGCTGTTGAGAGACTCTGCGCCGCTTATTATATGCGTCCACACAAGAAATATATTTACATGTATAAATACATCTAATATATACATATAAATATTGTACATCTAATATATCATACACATATAAGAAATAATATACATGTATAAATACACATATACATATAATAAAATGTTAATTTTTAAATTAATTATTAAGTTTTATTTATACCTTATAAATACAAAGATAAAAACAAAAACATATCCATAATGCAATTGTAAAAGACGACTAAAAGATGCCTAATATCAGACGTCTTTTAGCCATCTTTTAGTCTCGGCTATAAGTCGACATTTAGTGGGACATAAGACGTCTTTTAGTCATCTTTTTGTCGACTATTGGCTCTACCTAAAAGACATCCATGACGAAAATCTGTCATCTTTTAGTCCCAGTCTACAATAGATGATTTAAGCCCTAAGCTTTAAGAAATTGGCCAATCACGGTCAAGTATGAGAAGAATGCGCGACTGTGATTAGTCAATTTCTTAAGGCTTAGGGCTTAAATCTCTATTGTAGACTGGGACTTAGTCGTCTTTTTGACGTCTTTGTGCTATCTGGGAACCTAGGAGTTCTTAAAATCAACCTACAATCTAATGAGAATTCACGATCTACCACAAATTAAATACTAACTTCGTTAAATATTATTAGTATAAATACCAATAGAAATTAATGTTGTAAACATATTTTTAGATATAAATAAAAGTGTAAAAAATAAGAAAATATGCTTCAACTAGAGATTTATACAACTTTTTTTTTCGTCCATTGACCGATTTTTAGAGGTTTCGCCTCACTGTGCGACGTCCCAAACGAAACTTTTATAAAAATCGATTATGAATACCGGCCTATGTGTAATGTGAGTGCTGTGCGCTCTGTGCGCAATAGTGCGCAGCCGCAGCGCCGCATGGTCTCGCTCGTTGATCAACCATAGCGATGCTAATTGCATCTAACGTCTTTATCAATATAATGAGCACATGGAAGTTGATACAGCGACGGTGTTACGACTTGCTTTCGTATAAGTACTCATTGCTTGTGATACTGGTGGCGTTTACTTGCATATTCATCGGCATAGTGCACTTTGGAGAGGTTAGAATGGTATTTACTTTCTTTATGCATGTCGCACCTACGGCAAGTACGTTCAGGTAACAACGGAAGTCCACACTCCAAATCGTCTGGTCTCTCGACTGACGCGTTTTTTTTAGCATTTTACGTATAACGAAATATCCGACAAGTTTCAATAAACCTCAAACTGATTTGGTCGCGCAGGTATGGTTAATATGGAGCAAAGAAAAGTATGAGGCGGTCTTTCACTCCTTCAACGACAATATCCTCGGGAAGTCCTTCCAAAAGAAATTGTGCCAACACGTCCCCATAGACGTGGTTTACACCTGGGTGAACGGATCTGACCCGGCATTTTTAGAGAATCTCCAGAGGCATGTCTCCGTCGTGGACCTCGGCGCTGCGGCCTCGAGATTCAGTGACAAGGACGAGCTGCGTTACTCGCTGCGATCGTTGGAAATGTACGCGCCCTGGGTGCGGCACGTTTATATTGTCACCAACGGCCAGATACCGAGTTGGCTCGACATGGACAATCCCCGGATGACCTTGGTCACTCACGAGGACATTTTCCTAAACAAAAGTGATTTACCAACCTTTTCTAGTCCTGCTATTGAAAGTCATATTCATAGGTGCTTGAAAATATGGAATACACTACGTGTATATGGGGCGCAGCGCTCGTACGGATATGCAGCAACGCTTCTCTCCTTCCAGGATACCCGGAGTCTCCGACAAGTTCTTGTATTTTAACGACGACGTCATGCTGGGCGCCGAGATATGGCCGGAGGACTTTATAACTCAGGCGGGCGGGCAGAAGGTATACCTGGCGTGGTGGGTTCCCGACTGCTCCGAGATCTGTCCATGGGCGTGGGTCGGCGACGGGTCGTGCGATCACGCTTGTAACACAACACTGTGCGAGTTTGACGGTGACTAAATTGTCTTTTTGTAATGACACGATACGGTTTTCTTTACATGTTTGAAAGAACCTTGTGTATTCTGATGAATTGCACAGGTGGAGACTGCCAGACGACTGATGCCCCTATAGATAGTGAGGTGATGGAAGAGGAGGACGATTATCCGTACAAGTATCTGCAGGATTCTCGTGAAAATAACGAGCTGAAGCTATTGAGCGTCTTACGTAATAGAAATGTCGCTCGTCCGTCGCGAAAGGATGCGCTAAAATCCACAGTTCAGTCGTCGCATTCGTATAATCTCGGTACTACCTCCAAGCCGCTCCGTACGTTTCGCAATCTCGGAAATAGCAGTTCTAAGGACGTGCAAACGCAAGGTGTCAAAACTGACGGCGGGAGGAATTATAAGTCTTTAAGAAATTTCAAGTCTGTATATTCCAAATTCTTACACGCAAACGTCTCGAACAAAACTGCGTATCGTATCAAACGTTTGAAGCGTTATCGCAATATGAATGCGGTGCAGTCCAACAACTCTATCAAGTTCGATAAATTTACATATCCAAACCAGTGGAAACGTAACGCACGAGGGTTGGACACCTATGCGGAGTCCTTGTTATATGTCAATAAGATCTACAACGCCGTTTACGGCCTCGAACGAAGGAGAGTGCCGGCGCACATGCCGCACTTAATAGACAAGCGAGTCGTGAGTAGCATGCAGGAAAAGTTCGTTGTTGAATTTAAGAAAACGTCTAGTCACAAAGTGAGAGATCCCGAGGACATGCAGTTTGCATTTTCCTACTTTTACTTTTTATCCAGTGAGAAGCGACGAGTGCCCGTCGGGGAGATATTTGAGACGTTCGACACCGACAAATCGCGGTAAGGAACAGCGTGATCCTCCTATGATTGCACTAAATCGTAATGACTAACGTTAACAAAATCGGCCCTTAGCACTTGGTCGGACAGGGAGATAAGGACGCTCTTATCCAGACTGTACCCGCTGCCACTCGATTATAATCTAGTCATGGAATTTGAAAACGAGATCATAAATTGCTCGCGTCGCGCAAATCTGGAAATTGTTCGTGTTCCACCCGGAGAAAGGTATCTGGACTCCACTCTTGTAAGTACTAGGTAGTAAACTGCACACTCGGACAATAGTTGGTGCGATAAAGAAAAAACATTGCAGTCCCTGTTGTTTTTTCCACAGCCGGTGGTCTCCAAGGAGTTGATATTGAACTGCGAATCAATCTTCAGGAGGATGCAATCGAAATTCGGCAAAGGTAACCGGTATCCGCATGAAATAATAAAGGCTGGCAAGAATGAAATTTTCGAGATGTTGACCAGTAATGTTTCCTTAACGGTACAGTTGCTCGACGAAATTCGGAGAGATCCGAAGTATGTCCGTTATACTACATATCATTATATTATATATCTTTCGTCTCTCTTAAATACATAGGAACGATTTACATGTGCATTAACGCTTTCAGGAAGTTTATCTGCTTGAACGACGACATCGACCCCATTCGACGTTCCGAAAACGAGATTGTCCGCGCTCTGTTGAATGATTTTTATCGCTCGCTGTATCCGCTGCGAAGCACGTTTGAATTGCCGTCGCAATATCGCAATCGCTTCTCCCACCTACACGAACTCGTTGAGTGGCGAGCGAGTCGTGCGAAAGCTAGAAACCTATTACTGTGCCTTCTGGCGTTACTTGTTATGCTTACGTTCTATCACGTACTCTATCATCACATGCGCAGATTGTGCAGAACTCGAGAATTATCTACATTTCTAGCGTGAATAATTCCCACACAGCACAGAAAGTTCGCAGGAAGATTGCAGAAATGTTACATTGCAAGATTGCAATATTGCAGCAACGTTGAAATGTCCGCCCTCAGCGAGATTGCAGTGCAACATTGTAGCAATGTTGCGGTGCAATATTTTTTGAATAATTTGTTGTTGCAATACATAAGCAGAGAATTTACTAATTACATATGCGTCCGGGCCTTTTTCAATACACAACAAGCTATTGCGAAGCAACCCAAGGAGATTATGTCGCTTCGCAATAGATGTAGATTGCGAGCAACACCGCACTGATCAAGTACTTAATAATTCGCGCATTATTGGTATCAACGAAAAATATCGCTTCGTGCGATGATATACTATAGCGGAAAAGTAGGACTTAGGACGCTCATGGTGGCCGAAGTTTGCATTACTTGCTGGAGTGACAATTATCGAAAAATGGAAAAATTGCGAAAGGGAAATTCAAATTGTTGCGTGTATTCATGTAAAAATGTATTTCACAGATTTAAGATGTCTTTAAGACGACATAACGTTGTCTGGGATTTTACTTAAATTTCATTTAATACTTACGTGTAATTGTACCTTGTACGGAGTAGCATTGACAGACGTTTGCGGTATCACACTGCATCTTATTAAATGACTTATATTTTCACTGCGCAATTCTTCAACGCGAACTACATGCGATATTGCTAGGGCTTTTCCTTTCGGTATTGCACTCGGATTAAATTTAATGTCATGAGTAATGGGTCCAAATCCCGTTCGTATGATAAGGCTCATTGCAAAAGTTAGAGAAGTTAACCTACACATATAATGAAAAATCTATAGCAAATGTTTTGTAATATAACGAAAATTTTTTTATCGAAATTATAAAGAGACCTAAAATTATCAAGATATCTCACGACAGTTTACGTAACTTGAATATTAGCAATCATTGACAGCTATTCCAGCCAAATGTGCGACATTTCACCAACCGCGGCAGCACTAGTCTCTACGCACACAGCGAATAAAATTCTCGTAATTAGAAAATATAGTATTTTCATTATTTTTGAAACATTGCTGCAATATTGCTATCGAAAGTTTGCAATTTTATATCCCTGCAATGTCTCTGCAAGATTGCAATGTAACTGCAACCATCTGTGCTGTACGGGTTAGTAATAAAGCCAAACTATCGAAGCACTGCACACAGTGCTGCACGATGAAGCTAATAATATTAACTATCAGTTTAATATATCGCAATGTTAATTTATAAATTAGATAAGAATTTTTTGACTTGACTCATTCTAAAATCAGATATATCTGTGATATAACAAACACATTTTTACAATCGCATTTTAATAAAAGGTCTGATTATACGTAATGAAATGAATTGAATTGAGACGAATGACAGTCTGTCTTACGGTCCGCGAGTTACGCACACATTACACGACGGCGTTTTCCGTGGCCATTGCTGCGGAACGACCTGGCGTTATCATGACTTCGACGTCGATCGTTCGTGCAGACGCGGGCAGCTCGTGTGCCGGATATTCCGCGGGCCGACCATACCCTCCTGCAGCCTCGCGCACTCGAGCATCCACGTTGTTACGCTCGCAACTCGCTCGGCTGGCACGCGAGGCCCTATGCCTGTATTGTAATTTGAGATTTCCAATTGGCAAGTCTGTGAATGGATTATGGATACCGTTAGAGTGCCACGCGAGGCAATCGCGTCGCTCACTTCTCCACGTCGAAAAGTTTCGGCGAACGTATTGGTAGTTCAGCGAATCTGTTCAAGCATCATCGATCAAAGCGATTTCGTCCAATTATTTTAAAAAGCTGAAAGCAGCTGAAAGTAGTAAATTTTATTTTACCTACGACACCTGTATTTTTCGGCGTGCGGGAGAGCACCGCATTTTTTTGGTACGGACTCTCACGATCACCTTCGGCACTCAAACGGTTGTGATGTAAAAGAATGCTCGATTACCTGGTACGTTCGGATAAAATTTCGTACCCTTCTCCATTTCAGAAGACAGGCTTCCATCGTCGTTGGCGTCCTTCACTCCGCAAAATTTCCTGCCAATTGCGTCGTTATCCGCGTAATCTTTGCCGGCTGAAGCATCGTCCTTCGGATCAATTGAAGATTCGTCTCCCTTTTCCCCATAATTAGTAACTTCCTTTTCGACCGAACTATTCTCTATCGGCTCCGACAGGTCGGCTGCAAGAGGAAATTGAGCGGGAAGAATTTAAACGTGTACAGTAAATTCAACGTAAAGATCTTAACAGAATGGCTAACTTGTAATTTCGAGACAATGTTCATAAAATATTTATCTATCGGTGGTTGTGCAATAAAATTGTTATTTTTGTTCACATATATACGTTTCTGCATTGTAAACGTTGTCTTTGTAATACACGAAGTACATGTCAGATTTGAGACACAACGAATTCGCAAAATAACTCTGCAAGTTTTAGCCCTTCCTAAATTGCAACTCTTTAGGAATTCAAAGAAGAATGTTGAGGAAATTGCACGCGCCACAATTAATTTTTAAGGAATACTTCACGGCTAACTGTGGCAAATCCTTCAACAAGTTTTCAGATTATTCATTTTTCTAGTTCTTATATTCTTCAAAATAAATTCTCCGTAAACTTATATCCGTACGTCTTTGCTGCCTAGGAGGACAGTTATCGCGCGTCACTTAAAACAAAGACTCATTATTAGAGCATAAAACATTGTCTCAAAAAGTACAAATCAGCTATTCTGCTAAGAATGGAACCCTTGGTCGAGCGACGTACTTTTGGACAAATCGACCTCGTCTTTGGATATCAATTCCGAATTAATATCCACGTCGGTGTCCTGACTATTTATGGAACAGGTGCGATCGGCGAGACTCTCTCTACGCGCGGTACGTTCCGTGTCCTGATCGAGGATGTCTTTCTCGTTGCCGTCGCACGCGAGGCCCGCTAGATACCTATGACACTCGCAATCAATAATAGCAGAGAGAGAGAGAGAGAGTTGAGGGGCGTCGCCATGCCAAACCTACTCATATATCTCCGTAAACAAGGTGAGCGGGATCATCGCGGACCCGCCATCCGGCTCATGGCTGAACAACTGGCAGACCATGATCATCGTCTCCGTGAGATTGGCGCATAGCAGACCCACCGCTATAGCGAAAAACCTCTTCACCTGACAGTTGCGACGAAATCTCCCGATCACGAGAATCGTGTCCAGGTCCCTGCGGTCCAGGCAGAGACAGTCCCAGCGGCGCGAGATCGTCTCGACCGACAGTGTCTTGTTGTAATCTGGAAGGATTATCTCCAGACAGGAAAATACGATCCGGTCCAAGTCACGCAAATACCAATTGATAATTATATAATGTCAATATTATAATTTCCTACTCAACAACTGTATGTATAACGTATGTTATATCAGGTTTACATTGTTGAACGGACAGTCTAATAATATTGATTAACTGTTGCCCTGGTGAAAATGTTTCTCAGAATTCTGTATACGCAAATTGGTACACTTTTCGGAGATATTGAAAAAGTTTACTTCTTCTCTTAGATTTTTTCATATGTGAGAACATTCCGAAATATTCTGTTTCTAAGATTTCTCATTCTATAACTTTGGAGAATCTTAAACTTTTTCAAATTTCATAAGATTGTCTGAAATTACAGAAAGAGAAATCTTAAAAATCTCAGAACATTGCAGAATTCATCCACATGACAAATTCTAGGAAAGATATGAGCTTTCTCGGCGCTTCCGAAAAGTGTACCAATTTGTCTTTGAAAAATGTGTTTACAAAATTTGTTTACAAAATTATAAAATTACTAAAAAGTCTAAAAGTTCTGAAATTTAAGAGACGCAAAAATTATACAAAATTCAGAGAAAAATTTTCACCGGGGCGGTTGGTACTCGCTGGGGGGATACTCGCGCCGTACTTCCAAACTGCCGCAGCAGCACCCTGAGGAGGCCCAGGGTCAAACCGGAAGCCGTGGTACTCGGCGGCGGGTACTCCAGCCGCGACTTGACCGGCGGCTCCTCGCCGTCAGCCAGCGCGCGGAAGTACGAGCCGGACCACTTGAGCAGGTCGTAGGGCTGCGTGCGTATCGCGGCCTTGCAGAACTGCTTCAGGATCATCGGCAGCCTGGCCGGCACCGCGATCTCCCGCCCGAGCGACGGCTGCTCGACGAACGACATCCTCTCGCGATACAACGGCGTCGTCCACGGCGAGTTCGGCTCGGCCGGTTGTTGTGCGCCCACGGCGCTCTCCGTCGTCCGGGAAACGGAAACCCCTCGTCGACGACGAGGAGTCGAGTTTCGCGCGCGGGCGCGAAGCAGAACGAACGGGGTGATTTTTAAACCCATACAGCACGAAACCTTCCAGAAACATTTCAGAAACATCGCAACATTGCAAATTGCAATGTAATATTGCAAGGACTATTCGGAGACATTCAATTGTAATATTTCACAGACAATGTTTCAGTAACCTTGTAGAAATATTATTAAGTTTGCAAAATATATTTGCAACGTGTTATGATATTCTTTAGATTTTTCTAATTTATATTATTTCTCATATATTCCAAACGCAGCCTAATAGCATCCCAAGGAGAACAAAAAGTCAAAATGATGTCATGGTGACGTCAAGATGACGGGAAAATATCAGTTTGATCACTGAAACTTTATGACTTCAATATGACTATACGGTGACTCGCCATAAAATCATTATACAGATATTTTGACTTACAGGATTTTAATTCAATATGCATATTTTCGAAAATATAATTTTTTGAGAGGAGATTGCCTGGCACTTATTCATTGAAATTATCTTAT